TTGAAAATGTGTATAATAATGTTTATTAGTTAGCCGAAAAAGCAGAATTGAAATATATGAAGCCTGCACATAGTTATTGAGTGTTTCCACTTATCCGTTATCGTGATCACACTGTATTAAAATTGTTCAGAATTTGTTATTTCATAAAGCTATTCATGACTTAGGAAAATGTGTACCTTATAGGCTATACACTATAAAGCATATAATTTTTAATTATATTAATTAATATAATATTAAACTATATATTCTAGAAATGTAGGTACACCGATTGACTAATAATGATCATATTCAAAATTGTACGACGTAAATGATTTTATTAGAATTTAGATAACTTCTAGAAAATGTAYAGAAGTCTTAACTTAGGTTAAACATAATATACATATTAATTATGTTTGTTTCAATGTAATATTATATTATATTTATCTATTATTGAATCAAAAGTAAGCATTATATTCATAAGACGTTTTATTCATATAAACTAATTATGCATATCAGTTCTGGCATATGTAACTTTTTGTATATTTATTTGCATTGGCGCATTTCAATGTTGCAATGAAAACATATACACTAGAACATTGAAAAAACATCTGTATATAGTTTTTTAATTTTTTTAATATTATGATATTATGTATATAGTGTTCTATGTACGAAAACGCATAAAATTATTTCTTTTTTTGTATTTAAATTAAATTAAAAATAAATTTTATTGCTTTACTATGATTGTTACAGTAAACAGTAAAATTATATTTTGTAAATTATTATTAAAAAAATAAAAATATGATGGTTACACACCTTACACTAGTGACTAATGACTATACACCTAAATTAATAATACATTGCATAGATATAACATTTATTGGAATTACTTAATTTATTAACTTTCAAACTGAATACGTTTTTTTAAAAATATTATCAAAAAAAACTATGATTATGCATAAAAATCTATATATTCTTATGAGTTTATTTTATATTAGTTGTAGATTTATATTTGTTTTGAAGTTCGTATTACAAAACTATTGATTTGCGTATTAATATTTATAGTTAATTAAAGAATAGATCCATGGATAACTTTTACTTTAGAAATAAAATGAGAAATATATCTATTTCAAATTGTCAGTCGATTATAATTTATACTTACATTACCGCCTCCGCTTCTTTAACGCCCACTACCTTTACTATCCTACTCTCAAATACCAAACTGCAGTATGCAAATGTTTTTACTGGCTGTTTCCTTATTACAATTACAGTAAAATGCATAAATATTATTTATATGTATATGAATTTTAAGTTATACTATAAGATTTATATATAATATATATTATACTATATGTTTACTTTTTTCAAAGGACTAAGCCCATAAAATAAAATAAAATAAAATAATTATTATTATAAAATTTAAATAAATTTAATTACAAATTATACAACTGAAAAAAATATATTTCATAATTTTAGAATATAGTTATAAAATTTAAAACGAAAATAAAAATTTCAAAACCGTGACATGTAAGGTCCAAATTATTTTTTTAAACACTAAAAACTTGAGAATAAAGTGAAATTTTTACGCCATTTTCAATGGGCTGGCTTTCATTTTTGACTGAGTAAATTTAAAATAATGTATAGGATTTTATCTACGTATATAAATCTAAACTCAAGATTACAAGTAAATGTTGACTTTTACTTCACTTATATGTAATGGATCCATTGATGTTTTTCAACGTTTTACTGAAGCACAATACCCATAGAACCTCACATAATAGGATATCCATGCACATGTAGGCCAATCAATAATTCATAAAGTCCACCTACTGCATATTCCCCTTCTTATATTGTCAACATGCCAACATGCATGGTGTACATTATTATAACATAGTACATTTTTTTTTTTTTAGGCTCTGTTTTACTGACTCCTAACCTAACTGTTTATTTTTAATGTCCAGGAAAAAATAGTTTCTATAAGACTTGTTGGCTGTTGCCAAWWCGAGTACACACCATATACGAGTAAAATGTATCTGGTTAGAATTAGGATGAATTTGTCTACAATCTATTTGACTATTATGCTATACTTATATATTTAATTTTATATACAGCGAGTTTTGAAACAACAAAAAAACACATTAATTTTCATTGTTAAAGAATATCCAAAAACAATTTTGATAAACAATTTTTTATAACTATAGTCTTAATTCATCAAAAACAATAATCTGTACTAGCAAGCCACAAAACGGTTACTTGAGAAATGTAGTTTCTTTTATACATATTCAAAAATTTCAAAAATTGTATATCTACTTATTATTATATAATTAAAAACTTTTAAGGAACTTATTATTATATAGTATATCAGTTAGTAGATATAAGTACTTGTGAATTAGTATACTTATTTTGTTATCTGGCATAGAGTGTATTAAATTACCAATTATAGTCAACAATTCCATATTTAATAATACACAATATTAACTACACATTTAAATATCATTGTTTTTGAAATATTTTTATTTACCATGTATTTTTTTCTAAGTATGCTTAAGACTTATTTAGTTGTGCATTTTTTGTAGTAAGTACGTCTAAAACTATATTTTCCCTACCAAAAAATATTCGTTTAAAATAATAAGTAATGTTTCTTAAAAACATTTCTCAATGTTTTGAATAGTTTAATGTCATCAAACAAGATTTGTTTTGTATAATATTGTATATGTCATATACTCTTATGTGCAGATTATATTAATGATATGACCCATATTGTTCGCATATAAACTGACATATTTCACTACTATAAAGTTCAGTGTGATGAATCATATATAATTAACCAAACTACAACCCTTAGCACAATTTATCCATGAATTACCGATATGATTGACTTCACTTTAGCTGTATTATAGGTAAGCGGTTTTGAAATAAAAGTTCACCTTGTAATTCCCTCCCTTCTCATCTATTCACGACGCTGTTTGACAATGTCGTGTGTGTCRGCTCAAACTAGGGCTCATCGTGACAGGTAGGCGGTACCCACCAGTTTGTAATTTAGAGATAACTATGTACAGAGCGATTGCATACAATTTGTTCTAATTTTCTACCATATAAATCATTAATCTGTATGCTTACCTATTGTTATTTTTTATTGTCATTTTTCAACTGCGCCCAATTGTATTACTTAAATAGTATTGATATTTTTGTATATGTGTATATTGCATATTATATTATTACATACCTAGGTACTTAGACTAATTTGTTATTTTTTGCAATCATTCGTCAAATGTTATTCTTATCTAATCTGTCTATTCAAATGATTACTCTATTAACACATATTATGTACCTACAGGTAATGAAATGTCAAATTATTTGTTCATGATGGTATAATATTTATATTTGAGTTATAAATAAATTAAATGTATTTTAATATTATTTAATTTACTGAGGATTTTTAAATTCTGTTAAAATTTGTGATTTTGTTTTATTTTGCCTCATATCATCTGTTTATAGATTATATCTACCTAATATTTTCATAAGATTCTTAATTTATTAATACATTTACATGTTATAAGGAAATTAACTATTCGTGATCTACATTTTGGAAGGTTCTATATATATTACAATAAACGATATACATACTTAAAGAAATTTTAATAATAGTAACTAAATACATTATTAAATATGAGTTAAATAAAATAATAATTTACTTTCACGTTTCRTCATGATATTTTGTATCAGAATAACGCTGTAGAGTCATGGTAAAATATGGCTCACGCTATAATATTTAAAGACAAAAGCCGAGTAGGCGGAGTCAGTTTGATTACTGTCAAACGTCAAGCCCTTCCGTGTATTGTTTTAAAGTCTCTTAGAACTTCAGTCTGCTAAAGACTGCCTATACATGATTTTTGCTGCACAGAAAAAATATCTACTACCCACACTGCAAGTAATATCTTCTTACTCCTATGGATTTTTATCAAATTAAACAGCCGTGCTATTTGTACCGCTGTAAAATAAAAAATCTCGAGGTATATTGATTTTAAATATGTTTTATATTTATTGTGTTTATTAAAACACTTGTATGTTGCAAATAGTCATCTTCATAATTTATTTATCTATTATTATTATTATTATTGTTATTATGCACCGTATCGTTTACATTCGTAATTCACATTTATAATTTTATATTGCATCATGTTACATATTTCAACAGTTAATATTAATTAATGGCTTATTTTTGAATTAAAGATATTTTCTAATATTTAATATTAAATTATTTCTAAGGAATGTCGTTGGTCTATATAGCTCTATACATTATAATATATTCGATTCTGAACGGATAGCAATGAATGTATTGATTTTACAATGTTGTATTAGTTTTTATTTTGTGTCTGAAGATTCTGATGACACTTTTTCTATAATAGAAAAATTTCTCTGATTATAAATTTTAAGGGAATTTTCTAGTAGCGAATCAGATATTGTTTATATTTTGGTAGATAAAAWWGTAAAAGTTTCACTGTAACTTAAAATATAATCGGAAACTTAAAGGACATTTTTTTAAATTTTAATATTATTATTAAAATAATTGTTTTATCATCATGGTTACCAAAAAGTTAGTTAGTTTTTGCTGAAAATAGCTTTTTGTATATTATACAATTATAATAGGTATATCGTTGAATTCAAATTTAATTCACATTCATTAAACAGTGACCCAATCAATGACTATCTACACTCGGCACCATTTTTTATTTTTATTATTGCTTAATTGGATTTCAAATGTAATGGCATTTTAATTTATTTTGGGTTTTATTAATAGATTATTTGCGTTTAAATTTTTATTTCATTTTTGCGTGTTACGTTTAAATGTTTTCTGAAGTACTATATTCTTACTATATATATTGGTGACCTACTTATTCAATGAGGTTGTCTACTTTATTAATTGATATACGATCGAAATTGATTCAACCTATTCGACATTCATGTGGATACCGTATTATACCTGCAATGATATTTGATAAGGATTATAAAGTGAAAAGTTTTCTTCTACATTTTACTTACATATACATTATTATATTAATACAAAATATATTATATAGCTTAATTATTATTTATTAATTAATTAATCTTCGAAATGTATTTCTTTAAAATTCTAAATATAGGTAAATGGTAAATAATAATGATATATAAAATATAATTTTTTAGAGTTAACATCTAGTTAGTTTGATGATAAAGTATTTATTATTATTTCTTCAGCTTATAATTTTTAATATCTAGTTATAAGTTATGCATACTCTATAGCGTCCATCATATGACATCATTATTGTAATCGAAGGGTCATACTGTCAAATAATATCTGGYCAGGGACATTGCACGGGCCTTATAAAAAGTTATAACTTTATAAGTAAGTTGTAAGAGATAGAACCGATCGTTACCTTCGTAGTCTCTTTTTCTCTCATCCCCGTTGACCTTAAAACTCAATAGTGTTTGGTAAATTTATCAAAAAATTCAAATGATGAATAAATCATTAATTGTATTTCACAAATGATATTAATTGTTAAATAAAAATATTGAACAAATATAGGTTCATCAAAATTAATGTAATTAAAAAAAAAATAAAAATTGTACATAACATATTTTACATACCCCTTTATAGAAATGCCTCCCCATAAAGTTATTAACTTATAATTATTTTTAGACTAATGACCTGTGATGTTGAAGCCTTTTATTCCAATAAAAAAAAAATATATATATATATATATATTGAAGTACCAAAAAAAAAGGTTTAATTTTAATGTCCAATGTAATACAATCATCATGTGAGCAGTCTCTCATTTAAACACATTCCAAAACTTAGTATTTTAAATCATCTTGTGGTGTTTATGTTGAACGAGTGAAACATGAATCCGAAATACGTCCGTGATAAAAATAGTTTAAGAGTTGAGACCATTTTAGTAGATAGTTAACAATATTATAAAAAAAAACTAAGTATTTAATATTTGTGCATTTGTCAATTCGAACGCTTACAAAAAGTCGAAATAATAATTAATGTATGGAGTCTACTAAAAAAAATGTAAAAAAAGCAAATAGTTATACTATTATTGGTTTGTTTTAAAATTTTAG